TTTTGAAATTCTTAATTTTATATTATAGAAAACCCTATAACGAGAAGAATGTACATTCACTAAAAATCAAATTATTTTCCCAGACATTTCCAGACATGGGAATGAAAATGTTTGAGTTCCCTGATATTTTCAAGTTCTCCACAATTGGGGAAAACCTAGACATATTAACATATTTAACATAAAGGCTAATAAAATGATGATGTTGGGTTCCCAAAACTTTTGACAAGTCCATTTCCATAACTTTTTTTTTAGTTATTACTTCATAAAGATAACACTCACAACGAGCAATTACTAGCCAATTAAATAAAATTCACAAGTATGAAGAGAGAAAGAGTGAAGAAAAATCACATTCACTATAGAAATATTTATTACAATATTTTTATTTTTTTAAATATATCAAGGAATTTCAAATATATTTAAGACTTATTTTACATTCGATATTCCTTGATATACCCCAGTTTTCTGCCTTTAATATGCATCTGGAAACATGTCTCACCGATGAGTGGGTCTGTGACGTGTGTCCAGTCGATGCAGTCCTGTAACTCCAGCTGATAGTGTGACTGGATATAGAGCAGCAGGTGTTGAAAGAAGCCCACCCCAGCGATCAGATGAGTCCTGTAGGCACACTCCAGAGCACTGCGGCTGTGAATATGCTGCAAACACAGTCAGGATTTCAGCCTGATGGCCAATGCAACAGCAAAAAAAAAACACAACTACTTTTAAATAAGGAGACATGTGCAGTGTTACGCAACAGTACCTTCTTATTGGTCTTGATGACCTGAATGACCTCATAATAGACTTTCCTCCATAGCAGCTCTTCTGCCTTGCGTCCATAGTCCACAGGATGCAGGAACATCAGCTTTACACAAAGTTCTCGCAATCTGGTTAAAAAAAATAATAATAATATATAAAAATTTTAAGAAGCCCTGTAAAGTAAGTATATGGGAATGTTGATGAGTTATTAAGAGCTAATGTAACTGCTTCCTAACCAGGTGATGCAATAAAAGCTCTCTCTTCCATGTAAACACAAGATAATCCGAACGATTATTGCAGATAGAGTAAATTTGTGCTTACTTGTTCCTCAAGCTGATATTCTCAGGTTTGAAGACCTCCCTATACGATGACTTGCCGCTGATTATAATATCCAACTTGTGCACCGTTTCCACCACAGCCCTTCATGAAAACAGACAAGAAATGATGAACACTGTTATATACTGTACACCACAAACTCACAATATAATAAATCCCATTCAACACTTTCAAAAAATAAAAATAAAAATAATAATAAAAAAATCCATAATTTATAATAATTTTATATTATCTATATTTATTAATAATTTATGATTGAGTTAAATCTATTGGGTTGAAATTCAAACAAATCAGTAATGGTTTGCATTATATGGCATCATTTTCCATGTGTTTTTTTTTCTTTCACAAAGATGTATTATAGCAAATAAAAACCTAACTTGTTTATTTACTAAAGATAAAATGTTTATTTTATCGTCATGGGACCATAAAATTGAATTTTACCAATGTAAAAAAACTGTTGCTTTTCAAATAATCTTTTTGACAATAAAAATGTATTAGAAAAAAACCTGATCTAAAATATATATTTCAAGTCCAATTTTCTTCCCCTTAACGTAAATGTAACTTAACACCAGAGCAATGTTTTTGATTTATTTTTTAATGGTTAAGGTGTAAACACAGGCATTTGATTTGAGCTTAAAGATTCATTTCATTCCTACTGAATCATATATGATACATGCATTTCTAAAAATGGCCAAAACCCGTTGTACACATTTCACTACATGCCTGTCGTCCGATTGATAAAGTTAATAAATTTTTAGTAAATAAAGGACTTTTAGTATAATTGCATAAATGTCCATCTTCAGGACATCATAATAATCTGACTTTTTGTTGTGAAATCTTTAAAGATTTGTATAAAGTATATAAGAATGTTTTATATTGTTAGTAATATTTCAAGATGAATATTTACTGAACTGAAGCAACTTAGGTTTAATTGATTATCCATACAGCATTTTTTTAAAGAAAAGTTTTAGAAAATGTTTTGTTAAAATTTTATGCATCAATTATGATACATCAGGATTTTGAGATGTAGCGTGACAAGACAGTTTTTACAGTCCTTTTTATGAGTAGTCTGTTATAAAAATAAAAAAAGGTCAGAATTTCATCTTTGGCCAGCAATAAACTGTTCCATTCAAAAAAATGGCTTTACAATACATGGCTAACAACCATTGCATAGTTTATATGTTTTAACTATTCAACCTTCAATTGTGTATGTAATTCCTCATGTAATTCAGACCTATCATTTTAATTACCCATATCTGTAATTTTATAGGAAATAAAAACAGTATCCATGGACATAAATCATTAAGTAAATTTAAAAGCTATAATTTCATGCCACACATGACAAATAACATAAGATTTCCAGATGAGACATATGGGGCTGAGAATGACTATACGGCCTCTGTGGCATGGACTATAGTGTCATGTGTCTCATTTAGCATTATCAATATATGTTCAAACACTTCTGAGCCCCAAAAACCATCAAATACATAACAAGAATTACTGAGATTTTCTGACAGTACCGGCCTGCTGTCAACGCTCTTACCTGTACAGCCGTTTAATATGAAGCACTTTGGCCTCTGGCTCGCTGTCCTGACCCGGTCCGCTCATACTAGCAGTGATAGTGCGGCTGCTGGAGTCTGTTTTCGTGGATCTTGTTCTGGTTCTGATTCGTTCAGCTCTAGTTTAGCGCGCGGCTAACGTTAGCAGGTTAGCTAACTCACCTATTTCCCTCAAATTACAACTTAAACACAAACGCTGTCGTTCCTGACCTCCCCCGTCACCGGCCGCGATACCCATCCGTTCGGAAGCCGGTGTGTGTGCTGGTGTCGGTTCGGGTCAGCTGTCACATTTTGAAGGGGTTGTGTTTGTGTTGTTGCTGCTCATCATTTCGAGTGTCGCTTCGCGAGCGGCCATTTTTTCCCCTCCCACCGCACACAGTTCAGCGATCGCTGCAAGTATCGCGATAGTTGCAAGTAGCGCTCGGCTCTGCAGGCGAGATGATCAGCCACTGGTGTAACGGTTCCTTACAATGACCATTAGTGGTCAGAAAAATATTATGATAGCCAGAATTCCTCCCAAACTACTATAGTTATTGTTTATACTGTAAAATTAAGCTTTAAGAAGCTTGCAGCAGACGTATTTTTATGTGTGGTAAAAAAAAAAAAAAAAAAAAAACAGCTTAGGCTACCACCGTTTTTTTGTTTTTTTTTTGTCAGAAATATGTTCTGTAGCCTACTTTGTTTCTCTGCATCTTTTCTCAGTGGCTAAATCAATTGATCACCCAGAGATAAATCACCATAGCCTACATTTCATATTTTTGCATATTTAATTTTTTACAATTTACAATAAATAATGGCATTGTGTGAAGGTAGACTGTGATTAATTAAGATTTGTATGAATGGAAGGGTTAGGCCTTTAATTAGGCCTTTTAATTAGACCCTTTTAAGTTACAAACATTAGGCTATTTTAGAGTTCTGTTGACATAATGATGTAGATCATTACATTAACTTAATGTCGTATGTAATTTAAACAAAAATTTCTGTGTTAATTGGCTTGTTTTTTAATTAGGTTGTGGTAACTTAATGAAATTGTCTTGATAACTTCGGAAATTAGGCAGTGAATTTCTAGTTCCCCGCATGCATTACAGACTGAATAAGTGTTGAAATTACGTGTTAATTGGTTTGTTTTTAGTGAAGGGACAGTCCTGTTAGTGTTTAATGCTGTTATGTTTGAAGTTTTTGTTTTTGAAGTTAAACTCTATCAGCAATGACTGTGCTAATGTCAAGAACTGCACTAATGTCAATGACAAGTATTATCTTGTTCATTGAATATAGGCCTACATGTTAAATAAGTTAAGCATACTATATAGCTGATCATTTGAACTAGATGACTAAACGCCTGAAGAGACGACTCTACGACGGCGATACGTTATGTCCTAAATTAATACATGATTAACTAACTGTATTTTTCTATACATTTCTGAAATGCACTTTCTGTAAAGCTGCTTTGAAACAATATGTATTATGAAAAGCACTATACAAATAAATTTGAATTGAATCGGAAATTGATGCAGAGGGTTGCGTACATTTTTTTTTTGTTTGAGCCAAGGCATTCTTTTTTAGAGTGAAGAGAAGTAGTTTTCCCTCTTGAAAAATGTTTTCCAGGTGCTTGCACCTCCAGTTTAGGGCAAATACGGGGCAATTATATAAGTGCATTTAGTAAATAGGGTCAGTCCCACAAATTATCCCAAGAAAATGTCCAAAGTAATAGTTTCAAAATGCAAAATAATCTAATGTTCAGTACAGTAATAAGAAATGTATTCATATATTATTAAAATGGTAAAGTTACCGGCTTACATCATAGGAATGAGTTTGTACTGCCTTAATTTCATCCCACACATTCTCATCAACCCCTCATCTCTGGACACGATTAGCAGGCAAACCATCTGGCATCACCTGGCAACTGCATCTGTGAATCATCAGCAGGGGGTTTGAACACGACACAGCAATCCTGAAATCACAAGCTTCCATCTTGTTTCCTTGATCCTTTATCTTCTACTTTGACTGATAGCATTAGTAAAGCAGAGTTGATGAAGACCAGAAGAATCTGTGAGTGAGTGTCATTTCAACTGAAACAACTTTATTTTGCAGATAGACAGACAGGCAGACAGACAGAGAAAGAGAGAGAGAGAGAGAGAGAGAGAGAGAGAGAGAGAGAGAGAGAGAGATAGATAGATAGATAGATAGATAGATAGATAGATAGATAGATAGATAGATAGATAGATAGATAGATAGATAGATAGATGAAAACAACACTCTCAATAAATTAGTTCAATAATAGATAGGGAATAATAAATAGACAGACCGATAAAAACATCATTCAGTATAATAAATGAATACAATACAAATGTATTTCTTTATTCATCTGTTTAATTGATTTCATTTCTATAATTAGCCCACCCGAAAAATATAAATTCCGATTTATTCAAAAAGAAATGAAAGTCTTCAACAGCTTTGAATAAACTAAAGAATGATGAAATGATAACAGCAGTCATTATATTTTTACAATAATAATCATAATTCAATAACCAGAATATCAACATTCATAACAAATCCAAAAAACATCGGCAATACACTCTGACATACCACTCTTTCTATTAAGATAATATATACAAAAAGAAATCAAATTCCCAAGTGTCTGCCCTTTTCAAAAATGGAAATTTAGGGGCGGGGCTTATGGCTTGTCAAGAAAGATGAGTGTGATTGGCTTATGGCTGACAAAGATCAACTGAAGTTTATTAGAAAGAGGCACATCATGGGAACTCCATTCATTTACAGGGGACAAAGAAGCGCTTACTTGCATGGAAGAGTTGCTAGGCAAGTAATGAGGGAATAAAGCATCAAGCCATATAAAAGGTCAGTATAGTAAAATGGGAACGTCTCCTCACAAGAGCGATCCAAAAAAACAAAAACAAAAAAAAAACCCTCATCTGATGCACGGCACCGCATTGAAACTGAAAGCAAGAGGAGATGCAAAAGCTGCAAAGATTAGCAGGTGACTTATGTCTGGAAAAGTGGATATATGCATACATACGGTAGGTATTAAGCCTAGGCTATATATTTATGTACAAGCATTGCTTGGTCACCCAGAACCTGTTACAAAACACCTCAATCAGTGAGAAAATGAGTGCAAGCTTTAGACTGGCAAACCCCGCGGCGGACTCCCGCTTTCAGACTGCGTACAATCAGCCTGAGCAAAAAGTGCTTCGAAGACATCCGCCGACGAGTCGCCAGCGTGAGTTTTAATTCCCACAAAGTTCTGTTATGCTTTTTCTTGTCCACATGTCGAGAAAAAGGGAAATCGGTGTAAAAGAACACATTCTGTACACTGCATATACAAACATACCTTATGTACAAATACACATATATATATATATTTATATTGTATAACCATACATCCAGTATATACACAAAGACTGTACACACACTGTATATACACACAGTCACCCACAACATTATTCGACCTGCATGATCTCTCAACATTGATATTTTTGTCTAGCGGTGTAAAAAGGAAGCAGAAAAAAACGTCTGTGTTGCTCAGCTCAAAGGAAATAAAGTTCAATTTAAAACAGCAACTTGGCTTGGCTTTTCAAAACTACCCACAAACGTTCGCCAGCCAAATCTCTAAACAAGAGGATTCCGCATCCAAACAGTGTCGTCCATAAAATCAAGAACTCCACAGCAAAAACGAAAGCGAGTTAAAAAGTAAAAGAATCCATCCTTCCTTCACATACGAAGGAGTTGCCGAGGATCCGGGACGTAGCAAAATGCGGGGAGGGGGAGCAGGTAAAATAACAGGTTGTCGATACTTCTTTGCAAGGAGATTGTCACATAAACACGCGGATCTAAAAAGGATTATTTTCAGTTCTTGTCTCACATTACCAGCATGTAAATATCTGGGTGAGGTCCAGTCAAGCAGTGGAAACAAAAGTTCGGAGACCTCCAGCCTCTGAACGAATCCGCTGAAGGACAACTCAGCGTCTCTTGAGAATAAAAAGGCTGGGCGTGTTCTGTTTCCCCAAAATAAAAGACATGATTGAGACGCAGGCAGGCATGACCAGGCAGAGCTAATGAAGATCGTAATGAGAAGAAGTAGAGGATTGTTCAATATCCTACATGTAGTTAGTTAAGAACCTAAAAAACAGCACCTTTGAGATTGATCTTATCCACAGAACCTCTCTCAACGAACCACTTGCGCTGCATGCGACGTCATCTCTCGTGCTGTTAAGAGGCACGCAGCAGCCGTCTGACAGATGTTAAGCATCCCAAACTGCCATCACATCAAATTATATCAGAGAGAGAGAGAGAGAGGGCACGTCAGAGGAGGGGAACCTATTTATTTTTTCTTTGGATCGGCTCTGGCACTGAGTCTAAGCCTCAGTTTCCCCTCTGTCAACCAACCGAATCGCGTGACAGCGCCCTGGAATTAAACATCGGCCAACCTGAAGAGTGTCCTTGGTGAGGCCTCCAATTAGGTTCCAGATTGTCCTCCATGAAGCTTTGCGTTTGGCTGGAGACGCAGGGAAAAGAGGACGTGCTTGATGAGCTGCTGACCAATCACTGCTACTAATCTCAGAGAAGAAATGGACTAACCACCCAAACAGGCAGGTCAACTTAAAAATGTTTTTCCAGTTTGCATTAAACTGTGAGGCAATTGAAAGTTTACCTGAGTCATTCGATTTTACGTCTGAGGTATATTCATGTCATGGCACATTTGTCAGCCGATAACCCTGCTATCCCATTTCTCTCAAGCGCTTTTGGGACATAAACAAAATTGCCTGTTGATTATTACTAAACGGTGTAGAAGTCACTTAAAGATAGCCCTCGAAGCTCGAAAAAGCTAGAATGGCGAATCAGTCCATTCTCCTCTCTAGTGCCTTCCCAGCCTTTAAATATTACAGTACAGCTCAGTGTTTTTATTGTGCAGTTATGATTTATGTTTCCTTGCTCTCATCTAGGCCTGCTGTATTGGTGTAGCTCTATTACATACAGAACTTGAGGAGTTTTTCAACGCAACAACAAGGCAATCAGCAATGAATTGGGTTACAAATGAATGACTTGTGTCAGCGAAGCCACGAGAATGTCTTGAGTCTGTAGAAACATGACAATGAACTGATTAATCGGAAAACAAACACTAAAACGAAAGCTGTAGTGAAAGATGAGGTATACAATCAGTACCAGATGGCAGTGATACTTCAATGAAGACTTATAGCTAGCAATATTTCTGTACAGTACATAAGATTTGATTATTTTACAAACCAACAAGATCTTCCCTAAAATTGCCATTCGACGGCACCAAAAACTACGTTAGAGATGCTTGGGCAACTTTAAAGTCAACATGAAATCAAAATGGACCCTGTATACTTCTAAAATGCACATTCCTGGTTTTATTATTCATAATTTGTAGCTTTCCAGTTGCTCAAAAAGCCAAGGGCATGGGTTCGATTCCCAGAGAATGCATGAACTGATCAAAGTTTGGATGAAAGCATCTGCCAAATGCATAAATGTAAATGTAATGATTATTTGGTGCAAGTCCCTGTTTACTTTTTCAATGCGCATTCTTGATCTTATTTTTTGATGCATGGTATTCTATATTAAAAACAGGGCTGTTTTCATAATCTTTTAACAAAATATAATGTGCACCACCTCTGAAAACAATTCACAAATCCATTTAAATACAATTTTCAGCCACCGAAATCCATTTTTTCTATTTTATACTCGAAAACGTGTCACATAGTGGATTAAAAAATGGTTGCCTTCAAGTTGACTTTCATGTTGAGTTTAAAATGTCTTTTAAGACAAAAAAACCCAACACAAAGTTCTGCTTATTTGAAATATCAGCTCTCTTTGAGAAAAACGCATCAGAAAAATGTCTTATGACCACAACAGCATTCTGGCCTAGCATTTTGTTTTAATAAAAAAGACAAAAGGTTTTTTGACCTGACAGAGATCACCTCTCGCTCACCTCATGTTGCACGCACACACACACTGAAATAAATCAAAATTGGCCTGTAAGGAGATGAATGGGAGGGCGAAGACATTACTACTGTATATGAACAGTTAGGACGATGACAGAATGAGAGGTGGTGATGTAACACAGAGCAATGCTTCGTGAATCCATAGCACCAGTTAAATACACATAGGTTCTGAGATTGAGAAGAGAAAACATTGCACAAGTTCAGTCTAGTGAGGCAATTCAAAGACCAAAAGCACTTTCCAGACATTGTCCACAAAAACCCGAGCCGAGACATTTTCAGCATTACATCTAAATGAGCAATCTCAAAGAAGAGAGTGGAGTTTGCACAACCATTTCTGTAATTCTGCCATCCTTATTCTTGTGTTTGTTTGAAAACCCTGTCTAGAGATACAGAAAGGCACTAGGGAAGGCAGATGACAAGACAAAATCCCCAAGACAAAGCTGACGCATGTCCGTGGGTCAAATTTCGATCTCTATACACTTCGAAACATACGTATAAGTTTGTTTGCCCACCGTTCCCGGCTTCTTGGGTCGTATTTTTTTTTTTAACTCAGTCAAAAACTTGGAAACTGAACCAAGCACTTTCCAGTGGTTTGGATGACGTGGTGGCAGAGGTACTGTACGTGCAAGGGGCTTTTAACTTTGATCCAAAGAAAAAGTGATGTCGGAATAACATATCGGATCCAATGGAGAGCCCTTTTGTTTTGGATGGTGCAAGTAATGTCCCGCCTCCCATTTGTCCTCAGTCTAATGTACAAAAAAAAACCTCATCCTTATAATGCGGATGACAAAAGATGTGATTTTTCCTTCCGAATTCCTAAAAATGTTCTCAGATTTGGTCAACGTTGTTATTGACCTGCTCCCCCTCCAAACTTGCCCTCGATGATGTTGCTGATTTTTCAGTTGCCGGGGATCTCTCCGTTTGGCCGGAGTTGTGCGTGAGGAAGAGAACGAGGAGGGGAGGCTAACGGGAAGGACAAGATTCCATTCAGGGGGGATCGGGTGGAGGATTTGTCCGAGGGGGAGACTCCAACAAAGCCAGGAGTGCTGGTCAATTCTCCTCCAAAACTCACACCGGGGTCTGCTGAACCCAAGGCGGAAAGCTGGTTTTCCTAGCAAGACAGAGAGAGAGAGGAAAAGGGAGGAGAAGAGAGAGAGCAGGCGGAGGAGGGATGGAAGGATGAAGATTCCAAACACACACAAAAAAAAGGCAAATGGAATGCAAAGGAGTTCCCATGGCAAGAAGATCGATAGGGAAATGCAGAACAGGAAGATCAAAGTAAATAGAGGTCACAGAGAGAAAGAGAAAGAGGTGATGAGGGATTGGAAGAGCAGTAAAGGAGGAATAAAACAGGAGCATGAGTTGTACAGCAGAGGAATGAAAATTTTCCATTGAAATGCTCAGGGAAAGAGGGATAGACACAAAAAAGAGGAAGAGAGAGGGATGAGGAGGGAATTACAAATGCTGTTGATACACTTGTGCTCTTGAGAGGTTGCACTGCAGAAGACCAGAGTGGTTGTCAGTGACGATGAACGATTCAATATTGGACCGTTTTGGGTAAATATACCCAAAATGAGATTTTAAGTAAGTAAGAAGGGAAATTTATTTATTGATTGATTTATTTAATATCAATTTTGCATTAAAGGGGTCATAGCACAATTTTTTTTAGAGCCAAATCAATTAATCTCGATGTGTGTGTGTGTGTGTCTGTGTGTATTTATATACACTATATATATATATATACACACACACACACACACACACATATTATATAAACAAACTTGTATGTTATATGCGATTAATCACAATTAATCGATTTTTTACCATTTAATTTTTTTGGTTTTGCTCAAAATATATATGTTGGATCAATCAATTCTTCTCATGGAAGCCTTAAAATAGATTACCAGTCGAATGTAAAATGGCAATGTAACGTCCCAAAGTGTACATTTATTTGACCTCAAAGATCAGAAATTTTGATGACTCATGATATGACCCCTATCGCTGCTCTCACTCCAGTGTCTGAGTGCAGTAGAATAGACTTATACTGAGCATGCAACTGATGCAAAAGTGTGATCAACTGAAAAGAACAGGAAGTGAGAATGAATATTTAAGTCGAATGTGTTTTTTGTCCTGCTATCGCAAGCATATTTGGACTGTTGTGACAATGTGCCTGACAGTGTTATGCAAGCTCAAATGACTCTAGGGAACACATTTTTCAATCCATTTGCTATATTTTATAAATGATTTATAAAAAAGTAGTTTATATTTGTATTATATTGCATGATTATACAATTTTGATATTTAATATCAAACCAAAACAGTGTCAAATCCACTATTTAGAATTTCAGGGAGTTTTCACACATGGTTTGAACCGGAGTTTGGTTGACTGTACAATTGTCCATCGTATGCACACTTGGCAGAACTAGTTGGTCATCCGGGTACTTTTTGCTCACTCTTTTATGATGAGTACTTTGAATTTGGACATACTAATTTTGAAACATACAGAATTTCACCTACTATATAGTAGGGAAATGTGCACTTCGGATACAACCTATTGCAAACTACACGCCGCCATTTTGAAGTGCATTCAACTTTGTAAAGTGGACGAGGGAAGTTAATTTCGACAGACTTGGGTACTTGGGTACACTTCAGGCAGATCCATAGACCACTATCCAACACAATTGTGGCGTCACAACAGAAATTCGCACTTAATTCCTCCACAAGTGATCAAGGGCTTAGCGCGTTCCATTTAAACCCATTGCAAAAGGTTTCACCTGAACTGTACACTTGTGCAACGCTTGCAAGGGAAAGGCATTAAAAAAGTGGACTTGAATGCAGCCCTGGTTTCGTACCTGAATGAATTCGTCTTTTTGAATGAATTGTTTGAGTGAATGATTCAATGACTCCCTCATAAGAAGATTATGTAACCCCTCCACCCGGGTCCTACTCGCCCCACTCTGTGCGGGCCTCGAACCCGGCTCTTCAGCGTGACAGTCAGGTGCTCTAACAAGGAGGCTAAAGACTGTAGCCTCTAGCGTCTGTCGCTAGAGAGCCTATTGACATCAGAGGAGTGAGGTTTTTACTTACACAGCAACTACTAGCTGGCCTCCGTTACACTCACCCCCCTAAACCTCACTCCCTTCTGGGTCACGGCACCAATGTAACCCCTCCACCCAGGTCCTACTTGCCCCGCTCTGTGCGGGCCTCGAACCCGCTCTCCAGCGTGAGAGTCAGGTGCTCTAACAAGGGGGCTAAAGACTGTAGCCTCTAGCGTCTGTCGCTAGAGTGCCTATTGAGATCAGAGGAGTGAGGTTTTTACTTCCACAGCAACTACTAGCTGGCCTCCGTTACACTCACCCCCCTAAACCTCACTCCAATCCGGGTCATGGCACCAATGTAACCCCTCCACCCAGGTCCTACTCGCCCCGCTCTGTGTGGGCCTCGAACCCGCTCTTCAGCGTGACAGTCAGGTGCTCTAACAAGGAGGCTAAAGACTGTAGCCTCTAGCATCTGTCGCTAGAGTGCCTATTGAGATCAGAGGAGTGAGGTTTTTACTTCCACAGCAACTACTAGCTGGCCTCCGTTACACTCACCCCCCTAAACCTCACTCCAATCCGGGTCATGGCACCAATGTAACCCCTCCACCCAGGTCCTACTCGCCCCGCTCTGTGTGGGCCTCGAACCCGCTCTTCAGCGTGACAGTCAGGTGCTCTAACAAGGAGGCTAAAGACTGTAGCCTCTAGCATCTGTCGCTAGAGTGCCTATTGAGATCAGAGGAGTGAGGTTTTTACTTCCACAGCAACTACTAGCTGGCCTCCGTTACACTCACCCCCCTAAACCTCACTCCCATCCGGGTCACGGCACCAATGTAACCCCTCCACCCAGGTCCTACTCGCCCCGCTCTGTGCGGGCCTCGAACCCGCTCTTCAGCGTGACAGTCAGGTGCTCTAACAAGGAGGCTAAAGACTGTGGCCTCTAGCATCTGTCGCTAGAGTGCCTATTGAGATCAGAGGAGTGAGGTTTTTACTTCCACAGCAACTACTAGCTGGCCTCCGTCACACTCACCCCCCTAAACCTCACTCCCATCTGGGTCACGGCACCAATGTAACCCCTCCACCCAGGTCCTACTCGCCCCGCTCTGTGCGGGCCTCGAACCCGCTCTCCAGCGTGAGTCAGGTGCTCTAACAAGGGGGCTAAAGACTGTAGCCTCTAGCATCTGTCGCTAGAGTGCCTATTGAGATCAGAGGAGTGAGGTTTTTACTTCCACAGCAACTACTAGCTGGCCTCCGTCACACTCACCCCCCTAAACCTAACTCCAATCCGGGTCACGGCACCAATGTAACCCCGCTACCCGGGTCCTATTCGCCCCGCTCTGTGCGGGCCTCGAACCCGGTTCTCCAGCGTAAGAGTCAGGCGCTCTAACAAGGATACTAAAGTCTGCAGTCTCTAGCATCTGTTGCTAGAGAGCCTATTGAGATCAGAGGAGTGAGGTTTTTACTTCCACAGCAACTACTAGCTGGCCTCCGTTACACTCACCCCCCTAAACCTAACTCCAATCCGGGTCACGGCACCAATGTAACCCCGCTACCCGGGTCCTATTCGCCCCGCTCTGTGCGGGCCTCGAACCCGCTCTTCAGCGTGAGAGTCAGGGGCTCTAACAAGGAGGCTAAAAGATTTTTACTGGCCTGCGTTACACTTACTTGCTTTGTGCATAAATAAATATCTGTTTTTGAATGAATTGGTGGAGAAAGATTCAGTGAATCACTCATAACACAGTCACTTGTCGTCACCTATTGGCATAACTATGTAACTTGCAGAAAGAGTCACGCTGAAAGAATTGCAAATGATGCATCAGATTTTCAGATCAACTCAAATATTTATGAAACACTTTGACTAAAATATTGAGCCCGCAATAGTTTCATAGCTAGTGTATTATCATTGCCGGATAAATTATTTTGAACTTGGGTCCGCTCTGCACCAAAAGCGTGAAAACAACCTCAAGCCCATTTCTGCGACACACACACAAAAAAGGGATAGTTTGACTTTCATATTTTTTGTTATGTGTAGCTGGGCTAAGATTCTCATATAGTGGAGACACCATTTTTATTTTGCTCTTATCCTCTAATCTTACCTACAGAGGCGCAGTGCAGTGCCAAAAGCTCATTTTATATCTAAATCATGCTCAGTGTGTTTTTCATCAAGTTCAGTCCTTTTCAGTGAAATCTGGATTGGGGTGGAAACATTGGAGTTAAATCAAGCTAAAGTTAAAGCGGAGGCTAATGCATGAGAAACTCATCAAAACAACATGACAACAACATTTGGTGATAATATGTTTTACCATTCTAATATATACTCACCTGTTTTTTGTGTTTGACTTCATTTTTACAAGAATTCTAAGTGAATGGCTCAACTTTAATAGGTTCTATGTTTTTAACACCAAGGAATTTGCTTTGGTTCCAGACTGTTACATTAGCGAAGTGGCTAGCTTTGCTAACATAAGTCAGTCTGACTCCGTTACAGTGCAATTTCTTTCTCTTCTCAATCAGAACCTAGTATTTGAGAATGAATATGGAATTAGTGTTAGGGAACGGAGGTTTGGAACTAGCTGCAACACTAAACAAAGACAAGTGATGACGACAACAGGAGTAAAGGGTGCATCTCTGTCAGAACTGCAACTCATACGACGGTCACTTTTGTCTGGAACCATTGCTTTTCTTTAGGTGGTAAAATCGAAGTCCTGGTTGAATTGGTCTGTCAGGTAATTTAGGTTCAAAAGAAAGGGTTAATACGTTCTGATGTGTTTCTACAGCTCTTTAGATGCAATCACACGCAGAAACCTTTAAAACATCATCTAAAGCAAACTAAATCATCAAACACATCGAGTAACAGCACACACATTCACCTTTCGCTTTCATTCAGCCTTTTACTTCACACACAAACTTAATTTACCCAAAAGAAATTGCGTAAAAAATGAGTTATAGATGCAACCATGAACAATACATTTCTATGCAACAAACTACACAAATACTTCTACTGTAAACCACCAGAAGCGCTCTAAACACCGCAACAGAAGCATGAACACGTACACACTCTCACACTCATCCGGGTTCTCATGCACGCTGATAACCCACCCCCGACTCCTGTCAGGGCGGCACGGAGAAAGATACGGAGATTTCCCAGAAATCATCATCAACTGTTTCAAAGTGCAATGGTGATGATGTAGATAGAATGGACATGATGAGAAGAAGTCCTTCGCCTTGCACTGAGCCATATGCCCTGCTTACCTCTAGTTTATGTCAGATTATGCTGAAATTGGGACATTTTGTGTGGATGTGAGGTGAAACCTCCTGCAAAACAAACAAACAAGCTTCCGAAAATGACAGCATCTCTATGAATCTGTGAATGGTGGCAAAAATGATTTGCAGGATACTCAGCATTTGATAATGCACTAGTATCCAAATGATGTACATTTATCAATCTGGCATAGTTTTTCTGCAGTATGCAAAAAATCTATCTATCTATCTATCTATCTATCTATCTATCTATCTATCTATCTATCTATCTATCTATCTATCTATCTATCTATCTATCTATCTATCTATCTATCTATCTATCTATCTATCTGTCTGTCTTTTTATCTGTCTATCTATCTATCTATCTATCTATCTATCTATCTATCTATCTATCTATCTATCTATCTATCTATCTATCTATCTATATATCTATCTATCTGTCTGTCTTTTTATCTGTCTGTCTATCTATCTATCTATCTATCTATCTATCTATCTATCTATCTATCTATCTATCTATCTATCTATCTATCTATCTATCTATCTGTCTGTCTGTCTTTTATCTATCTATCTATCTATCTATCTATCTATCTATCTATCTATCTATCTATCTATCTATCTATCTATCTATCTATCTATCTATCTATCTATCTGTCTGTCTTTTTATCTGTCTGTCTGTCTGTCTATCTATCTATCTATCTATCTATCTATCTATCTATCTATCTATCTATCTATCTATCTATCTATCTATCTATCTATCTACTCTCTATCTGTCTGTCTGTCTGTCTATCTATCTATCTATCTATCTATCTATCTATCTATCTATCTATCTATCTATCTATCTATCTATCTATCTATCTATCTATCTATCTATCTATCTATCTACTCTCTATCTGTCTGTCTGTCTGTCTATCTATCTATCTATCTATCTATCTATCCATCTATCTATCTATACGTCTATCTTTTTATCTATCTATCTATCTATCTATCTATCTATCTATCTATCTATCTATCTATCTATCTATCTATCTATCTATCTATCTATCTATCTATACGTCTGTCTTTTTATCTATCTATCTATCTATCTATCTATCTATCTATCTATCTATCTATCTATCTATCTGTCTGTCTGTCTGTCTGTCTGTCTGTCTGTCTGTCTGTCTGTCTGTCTTTTTATCTGTCTGTCTATCTACTCTCTATCTGTCTGTCTGTCTGTCTATCTATCTATCTATACGTCTATCTATCTATCTATCTATCTATCTATCTATCTATCTATCTATCTATCTATCTATCTATCTATCTATCTATACGTCTGTCTTTTTATCTATCTATCTATCTACACAAGACTGAACTTTTAATCAACAAATCTCTTTTCAAACTCCTCAAACTACAAGGCCTACATAAAATAAAAGTTTGTCAAGGCAACATTTATTCTAGTATAATTAACTCTGGCTGGGAAGTAGAGGCGTATATGACTTTGTGCAGGCGAGGTGTAGTGTGTGTGTGGACAGTATTTTTGTGGACACGTCCAGAGTACATACGGTGGATGTGGGAGGAGACAGAGGTGGAGTGGGCGGGTCACAGTCAGGTGAGTCATTACCTTTGCATTCGCAGTGGGACGGGTGCAAGGCGGGGCTGCACTAGGATGGACTGCCGCCTCCCCTAAGAGAAATCACCGTATCTCATCAACACACAGGAGAGGACAGAGAGGTGTTTATGTGAGGGTGTGGGCCTGTGCACAGCAGGCAAAGGGAGTGTGTGTCCGTGAGACGGGATCGGCATGCATGTGGACATACACTCACACACACACACACACACGCACGCACACAAAAACACACACAAATTCCCAGACAAACATTTAAATGTCTACCAAATAACACAAACATACCTCAGCTCACCACAAAGTAAAAGGCAAACAAAGCTCTAAATGCCATGTTGGTCATCTTTATGATTTCGCAGCCAACATGCAGCTAAACAAAATAAAACTCTTCTCTACAAAATTCCACAGAAATATTCCTCAGCTCTTAAAATCCCAATCAATTGGCGAACAGGGACATGCTACTGGCTCAATGCACCTGACATAATAAAACAGCAGAACAGAAACAAACACAGCGTGTGAACGTCTGCCAAGCACATGAGCAAACACAGAACTGACAGAGACGCATCGTTAAAAACTACGAGACAAAACCAGGGCGCTTTACAAACACAAACTTCTCTCTCGATGAAATCAGAGTGGCTTTGGAAGAGTTTTTATGATAATTTAAAAAAAGGAAGCTATTTTATTACAATTGTTTATTATGAAGGGAATAGGAACAAATAATTAATTGTACATATTTAAAATAACTGTTTACCTAATATTAAGAACATTTATAATAATACATGAATTATTATTATAAATTAATTCATATCAAAGTCACTATGAAATCAAAATAAGCAGTTCTTGCTTTAATCATGGAATATTGCCATTTTTATCATAAATGATTTATCTGTGAATTATTATTTTTTTTAATTCATATGACCTTGAAATCAGCCAAATCTCATCTCTTCCCTGATGATGTGTTCACTGGCGCGAGGGCGGGACAACCTGTAACTCACATGAGATCGACCAATAGCAAACCACAACCAATCAATTCCCAGTGTTTGAGAAGCAGCTTCACTTAATTGGATAAACGTCATAATAGGGAAGAAAAGACTATTGCAACTTACCCCAGATAGCAAACTGACATTGAATCAACGTGGAAATATGACATCGAAACAACGTTGATCTGACATTGTTTTGCTCATCGAATTAACGTTGAACCAACGTCAGACGCGTCATTCTTTCAAAACTAACGGAAAATCAACTTAAAATCAACGCGTTGTTTCAACGTTATGAAAGCAAACCAATTTTCGATTTTCATTTAGCTTTGAAGAATGCCGCGTCTGACGTTGGTTCAACGTTAATTCGATGAGCAAAATCAACGTTGTTTCAATGTCATGAGAGACGTCGTTTCCACGTTGATTCAATGTCAGTTTGCTATCTGGGTACGTTTCATGCAGATCTCCTAATCATCAGTTAAAATGTAATAGATATAGCTAATACGGCTGGGTAATAAATATCGATTTCTCGATATTAATCGATTCTCATTTTTACGAACCGATATCGATTCTTAAGTCTCAAGAATCGATTATTCATCCTGTTTCATTTGAATGAATGGGATATTGTATCGCGGCTGCGCGCAATCAAAAAAAAAAATCGCAATAATCTTTGTCCTTTGTTACTATTGCTATGAAGCAAAGTCTCAATTTTCAAATTACGTCCATTTTCTTTAGAAATTCAAAAACATAAATAGAGTTTTGGCGCTGTGGCGTGAGATCGCTCTGGCGCAGCTGTTGAGAAGCAGCAGCGCTGATCTCTCTTCCGGGTTAATAATACCGGTCACAGCGCGAAATAAACATGAATGAGCGTCTGAAAGTGTGTTAAAAGATAGAGTATAACTTATCGAAATTCGTATCATGTCACATTGATTCGCTCAATCAGCGTTTCAACCGTGGAAAGACGTCAGTTAAACAGCTTGTAATCAATGTCATGTATCGTCATATTTACCTCAGAAAACCCACATCAACTCGTTAGTCAGCTAGGAAAAAATAACTACAGAGAGGAGCATTTTGCTAAATATATAGCCACCATTTAAATGTTTATATTTCATATAATCTTCTTATTATAAAAATAAATAAAAGTGTAATTTAAGTGATTCGTTCATTATTACCTTCATATTTGAATAAATCTGGCAAGTTTTTTATGACAGCCACCATTTAAATGTTTATATTTCATATAATCTTCTTATTATAAAAATAAATAAAAGTGTAATTTAAGTGATTCATTCATTATTACCTTCATATTAGGCTAATGAAGCCTAGTAGGCTACAACTAGACTCCCATAGTTTACAGCATTAGTTAAGAGATTTGATTCCCTTGAGAAAAAATGCCATTTATTGTAACTGATATCCAAAATAATCGTTATTGAATCGAAATCGAATTGCAAGCTTGTGAATCGAAATCGAATCGAATTGTGAAATTTGTCTCAATACCCAGCCCTAATAGCTAATCTGCAGACCTTTTGGTAACGCTTCCTTTTACAATACAGTACTTACGTGTACTTTGTGTACTTAGAAAGTACTGGCTAATAAAAGGTAAGTACATGGGTTAGGGGTAATACCTAGTTATTATCCAGTAATTGTAATTACTATAAGTACATAGTAAGTACATGGGTAACACAGGACTGTAAAAGGAAGCGTTACCGACTTTTTTTAGCCAACCACATGTGGGTGATTTTAACGTTAAAACATGTTAAATGAATGTTAAAGGATGTTTTTTTTGACAGTTGCACCTCTTCCAAACGTCCACCTGAGCTTCATCTAATAGATGCTTTCTTTCACACACTAATCGTATTCTTCAGGAGAATCTATGCTGACTGCGCTGAACTTCCTTCGGTGGTTCTGTCCACTCAGCCGTTTCCCTGATCCCCGAGTTATACGTGCGGCTCATACTCAACTCCCTCGTTTTATCCCATCTTATCTCATCAGAAACAGGATCATTGATTTTCTTTTTTTTTCAAAGTCACATTGAAAGTTGATTTAAATACAGCTGGAGCTTTGGATCAGAGCGGTCGAGTGACGTGTGTGCACAGACTGGAACTGAAACTGAGAATTTGGTGTTTGTTGTAACATACAGTACAGCGATGCACCATTTATGAGAAATCAAAGCATAAAAAAGAAGCGAGGGATGACACATGGTAAGAAACATGAAGCATTTGACATCCCTGCTGGAGGTACTAATGCTTAACTAAACAATTCTCCACTCGAGGTAAGGCAACACTGAGCAAATAATAATACGCTACAAAAGTTCAATAATTATGCAAAAAGTATTTTTAGATCTGTCTCATTGGAAATATGTATATAATGCCTTAAAAGTAGACAGCGGTTAAATGGAGAGCAAAATAAGAAAAGACCAAATGAGAGTTTCATTGTCTCAAACTGTGCTCAGATTTGTCAGATCTGCTCAGAATAAATAGATATTTGCATTCAAATAGAAGAGATCTCAGTATGAACATTTATCATCAAGAGCAAGTGATCTGATATACTACATTCATTTATAGCTTTATATTCTTTTAGTGTGATAACAATGTCTCTATTTGTCTATTTCTATTTCTTATTTGTAATTTAGGTGAACCATCTTAATAATTATTACCTAAATGAAACAATAAAGAACTCTATTCAAATTGTATTATAATATTTTTTTTCCCCCTGAAATCCCCTTTTTAATGTCAACTACAGTTTAAAAGTTTGGGGCCAGTAAGACTTTCTCAAAGAAATTATACTTTTATTCTGCAAATATGCATTAAAATGTTCAAAAGTGACATTATGATGCTTTATAATGCTTTATCCGTTTCAAATAAATGCTGTTCTTTTGAACTTTCTATTCATGAAAAAAAATAATAAATAAATAACGGTTTCAACAAAAATATTAAGCAGCTACTAAGCAAACTGTTTTCAACATTGATGATAATAAAAAATGTTCATATCAGATTGATTTCTGAAGGATCACGTAACAAATTTAGCTTTGCATCACAGGAATAAATTATATTTATAAAATATATTTAAATAGAAAATAGATATTTAAAATGGTAATAATATTTCACAATATTGCTGTTTTACTGTGTTTTTGATCAAATAAATGCACACTTTTGAACGGTAGTGTCAGATGGGTGGTTAAATGTTACAAATTTGGGGTTTAAGACTTTGGGTTTAAGTTAGTATGTTTCCATAGAACAAAAAAAAAAAAATATCAAAAGATTAAGGAAAAGTTAATACTTTTGCCCCAGTTTCACAGACGAGGCTTAAGTTGTTTTAACTGAAAGCAACTTGCACTAAATATCTTCAAATATGTCAGTGCCATTGTTTGGTCTCAAGATTTTCTTTATAAAAGCTTCCTTAATGTCTTTATTGAACTAAGGCCTAATCCTGGCTTAATCTAAACCCTGTCTGTGAAACCAGGGCTAAGTGTCCTGAGCTTAGAAAAAGCTCAACATCTGATTAGTAAAACATTCCTTCAGTCCAGCGTTTCGCATCAGGATGCTCTTCCTCAAGTGGATCAAATCTGTGATCTGTAAGTGCTGACCTACTGAATATAATACGGCAGTCCTGTAAAGCATTCAGACAGGCAGAGCAAACAAGCAAAGACACATTCCAGCGTGGACATAGGACAGACACGCAAACACGGACAGGAGATATTCACAGAGAAAAAGAACAAGAAGACAGACCTGGTCTGCGAATATCCTGGGTTTCTGCTCAGGCACCACCCCTACCCTCAGCTCGTCTTCCACGGCCATGAGTCTTCATGGGAAACGAGAAAGCGAGGGAGAAAGAAAGAGAGAAACAATATTAGTTCCAAAGCACACAGACATCAACAATAAGTGTTCATCTGCCGCAAACATCAGATCGACATGCTTTGATTGTGATATAAATAGCGTTTGAAATGGCTTTTGGTCCAATCTGGGAAGCATACTGAAGAAAAAGAATCAACCATATTATGTCATGATGACATATTTCCATCATCCCATGGGAATAAGTGAGATGATGAATGAAAACGGGCCACGTTGTATGGCTTTTAACGACGGCTGCCGCTCTTACTGGCAGCTTATTTCAGACCATTGAAGTGGCCGCCAGCGGATCAAAGTGACGTTCGGTTTCATACACAAAAACGGATGTTTTCATATCTCCACGTGAACATATCACACCACATGCTGTTTTTAGGCACAAGTGGGAGCCAAACGAAGCACTGTGATTATCAAGTGAATGACGGTTTTATAAGGAATGATGTTTTTGGTTTGATTTATGTTGACAAGATGACACGAGTACATGACAGCGATATTAAATGTGTGCATCTGGGTCAAATATGAAAAGTTTCATTGGATGGGTATCATTGAGCCAGTTTAGGGGACAGATTTGATATTTTTTTGATGTAGAATGATATGAAATAGTCATTAAAGATACATGAATTCATTGCAGAAAAAGGCCCGTTCACAACAAGGATGATCACTATAAAGATGGTTGTAAATATAAAAGAATAGCAGAGTCTGCACCACAACTAGATATAACAATATAACGGCATAGATAAACAATAGAATTTTTTTTAGCTGATGAACGATAAAGACATTGATAACCAATCAGAATCCATCCTGCTAAAAGAACTCTTCTAATAAACAGAATGATATCGTGCATTAGTGTGGACGGTAATATAGTTATCATTCTTGGTGTGAACGGGCCTTAACTTATTCTAGTCTTTAGCATTTATTGGAAATAAATAATGAATTCCACAGTTTAGGTTTAAAACAATATGATTGGATATTTTATTACATTTATTATATTGCTTGTACAAAAATTCAAATGCAAAAGTAAAAACAACAACAAAACAAATTTAGTGCTTCAAGATTTCTTAAACAGACAGAAGCATCCTATTTATTAAAGATATGCTCAGGCCTGTTTTATATTCAACAATGCGATTGTTTATTAACAAAGATCAGACAAAAGGTCATGGGGTCAGACACAGTTCACAAGCAGAGGTCAGAAGGGTCACGATTAATACACCTTCATTGTGCTATTTCTCATCGCTACTGTTATCAAGGTATTGCACACAGTTTGGCTACAATATTTAAATAAATATCATCTCGTATACAGAATATATAATTCTATGCTCTATATTTCTGCTTTTAAAAGAATTTATAGGGAAGCAATGTCTTCTAACAGTATTCGATTATTTAATACACTCATTTTTATACATCAATTTGAATATATGAAAGTCTAACAATGGAAAACAAAAAAGGCGTATTTCAGTGCAAACGTTCAAAATGAGTATTTATAACAACATCACATTACAAAAGATATTTTCTAAAAAATTAATTTCAGTCCTACATTAATCATCTATTTATGTTTCCTGGCCTATAATTAATATCTCTATGTTTATTTCACAAACAGCACCACACAAAATAAGATATTCATAAGCATGACAACTCACTTACCTCATGTTTAATATTTTATACTGTATCTTCTTTCCAGTTTATATTGAACATAACACCAAAACACACTCACCAAACTGTGTTAATATTTATCTATGAGGGTGAAAACAAGTCCAGGACAAAATTCACTATGAAATCAAAAGAAAAAAAAAAGATTATAATTTGCATAAAGAGAATTAAACTAAAAGTAGCAGTGCAATAAATACCATGATATACAAATACTTATATAAAAATAAATTACACGTGTGGATCGTGTTAATTGTTGCACTGCCTTAAATGAACATTTTTCTATTGATTATAGACCGAAATATGACCTGGAACATGGGTTTTGTGAGAATTAAGTCATGAGTTTGAATATTAGGAATCATATTTGAGGCTTGTGTTTGAACATAAGCAAACACGAGCCTCTTTCTGAAGCTTGGAAATATCTGCTTTTATTGCATATTTCAAAATGAATGATCTAAACACAGAACAACCGAAATCCAAATGTGATGAGGAATGGTTGACACATGAGATCGCTGTTCTCGTGATGGCACATAGAGATATGGAAAACGTGGACATCTGAAATATGATCTATTTTGACGAGTAAGACACTTTCATCACACAGTGTGTTATAGAGAGAACATGTGCAGGTCGATCAGGAAGCGATTCTGTGTGTTTTCAAGATGTTTTGCTACAATTAATGATGGTTATCTGGAAGAAAAATCCCCTGCACCATTTCTCTTTCAAGACAAACAAGCATAAAGGCTTGTCTAAATACTTTATTATTGCAGATATGCCGTTTTTACACTCATTAAAGGATCAAATCGCCCTAATGAGTGAAAATTTCATCATCATTTATTTACACACCCTCATCTCGTTCTTAAATCCGTATGACTGTCTTTTTTTCTGTTGAACACATGGTTACTTGGTGCTTTTATGGTGCTTTTGTCCTGTGTGAAAGATGTGTGAAGATTAAAATCTCCTTTTGTGTTCCATTGAAAAGTTAACAACAGTATACAGGTTTGCAACGACATGATGGATGAATAAATAACCAGAGAATTTCTATTAATGGATGAATGATCCTTGTAAGAGCTTTAAAAAGCGGCATTTTTAAGTTCTTTAAACATTAGAAATTCATAAAGCAATTTCTTTTCATCTTAAGCACATTTTATGACATTTTCTCCATGTCAAACTTGTTTCCTCAGACGGCAGTGCAAATACATTAACAATACTGCACACATATGACTGCCTCCATTACAAACACATCCTGTTATGATGATCAGTTATGATTATGAAGACTAATACACGCCAAGGAAGAGATGATGATTTATATTTGTATGCCCTTTTGGTCTCCCTTCACCATCTGAGTGTCTTCACTCCATGTCTTCATTCCTAGAATTGGATTGAAACAGCAATATACTCTGTGACAAAAAATACGCAGTAAATGCTGCATTACAGGAAATTACATCATCATTGCATCAACCAATGGGAGGGGTGATGTCTTTTCTAAGAGTGAAGCAAAATATTGGCTGATGTGTCTCTGTGGATTCACAAAGCCGCTAAGAATCCAAATAAAAGATGAAATGAAACAACAGGGAGGAAATGAACCCAGTTCGTCAATTAAAAAACAGCTTTGTGATGGCAATTACAAGACCAAGTCCAAGAGTAAAGATGTGGTTAAACTACTATACTGTATATAAATGGCAGATGCTCTATAAAGGAAACCCCTTATAAAATGTATAACACATCTATCCAGTGACCCTAAAAAGTATGTGGACACATGCATCATCCATGTCAAACAAAATATCAAAGAATGATTCTGCAAACAAGTGCCTTCAAAAACACTTTCTTTTAAGGATTACACTCCCATTCAAAGGTGTAGGGACAGTTATTAACAAATGTCACTAGATTTGACGTTTTGATAGTTTGATATTTTGGTAACCAATGCAATGACATTCTGACATTTTTAAGTTTGGCTTAAATGTCCAAATTCTTTTTGGGCCCACTATTTCTATACAGAATTACATAAGGAGTCATTATCAGTTAGGCTTAGAAGGAAGCGTATAGTACACAGCGAGTGTGATCACGTTTCTCCCGCCTCTTTTTTTCATATTACCTGTCAATAATTCCTTTAATTTGGTTGTCTTTCTCCATCTGCTGCTGTCTCAGTCTCCTCTCGCTGTCGTCCAGTCGGCTCTGATACTGCAGCAGGATTTTATTGGTCTGCTGCTCCTGAGTTAACAGCCTCCTCTCGTACTCCTCCAGCTTACGGTGTGACATCATCAGACGGTCCTTCAAAGAGTTGATCTCCTCCTCGTACTCGCGCACCTGGGACGGGACAAGAGATGAGGACAGTGGGCATGTTATCACAGCAGACGTCACCCTCATGATGGTTTTGGTGAGACAGTAAGGTAATTAGGTACTTAGTGGATACACAGTGGAGACACATCCCTTTGGTGTGAGAAACCCGGGTTCGAATCCACTGTGAGACACTGATGTGTCCCTGAGCAAGACACTTAAAAGCGTCAGCCAAATGAATAAATGTAAATGTAAATATACAGTGACGTGAATAAGTTTGAACACCCATGCTTAAGTATGATTTCCAAAAGATGATTTTTTTATTCCTCTTTTTAGGCAACTTTAGCATGGGTGTCGAAACTTATTCACATCACAATATATATATATACACACACACACACACAAGTAAATAAAAAATTATAAAAAGAGTTAAAATTAAAGAAAAGTATTAAAAATAAACTGAATAATTTATGAAAATAAAAATATACAAGATATTGTCCATTAAATGACTTTAATAAAGTTTCAGAATATTATTATAATATCATTTTTTAATACTTAAACAATTAAATAAAATAAATGATGAAATTATTAAAAAAATATATATAATAAATAAGATATTATCCATTAAATGGCTTTAATAAAGTTTCAGAATATTATTAAAATATATATTTTTAATACTTAAACAATTAAATCAAATAAATAATGAAATTATTAAAAAGTATATATAATAAACAAGATATTATCCATTAAATGGCTTTAATAAAATTGCTAAATATAATTTAAAAAAATGAAACAAATTAAAATATTAAATAAATGTAAAATTAAAATAAAAAATGTAATAATGAAACTATTAAAAATGAACTGAATAATGTAAATTTTAATTAGAAAGATGTTATTCATTAAATTACTTTAATAAATATTATTAGATATGATATTTGTGGAAGTTATAAAACGAAAGTAAAGCCGGTTGTACAAGCTTGCAGGCATTTTTTTTCTTTGGGAGAGAAAAAACTCACTCACTATGAATATTGTTATAGGCCAGTGGCTTCAGTGTTTTCAAAAACTTCAAAAACACACATTTGTTGTTTTTGTTGAAAGGAATGGCTGTGCTGTACTTTGCTTTTCAGCAAATGATTTGCACACAAGTCTTTTTAAAGCAGCAGAATTGAAAGATCCAGTCTCGGTGGTAGTCCAGTCGAGCCGTGTACCAGCTGCTTTGACACGATTATCAGGTTAACCGGCCTCCCGAGTGTCTGAACTCGCAGTTTACGCTCGTCTTAAGGTTATAAAGCTACGCCCAGTGTCCAGCGCTGGTGATTGACTAACTAAAAGTGGTGATGCTACAATAATTCATTTACTGGCATCATTTACTTCCTCTCATGCTGTTTCAAATCCTTTCTTTCCTCTGTGGAAAAAAAGTCAATTTCTGAAGGATATCCAGGGCAGGATATTCTTCAAAATTGCATCTTTTGCACAAAGAAAGAAAGTCATGCAGGTTTAGAATGACATCCGGGTTAGTAAACAATGATTGCTTTTATAATTTTGTAGCTCAGCCATTTTCAAAACAGTGTGGTTTTTTCAGTAATGAGGAATTTTCAGATTTTGGCCCAAATTTTGCAACTTATGAGGAGGCATGATTTTGCTCCCTACAGCTTTTCTGGAAGGAGTGTGTCATTTATGCATGAAAATGTTGCCTAGGTGGGCAGCTACAGTCAATGCAAATGAACAAATTCTCCATGCAAACCACTCGGGAATGAGAAAGTGCTGATTCATAACAGAATTTTATGGCAGATTTTGAAGATGAAACTGTCCTTTAATATGCACACTGAGAAGCAACGAAAAGAGGTTGTGTGTCACCTCCACACGAGCATCCAGACGGGGTGACAGAGGGTAAAGAACAGTCAGGACGTCCTGATTGAAAGCCCATGCTGCTCTCTCCTGTGGTCTGTTCACAGCAAAAGGCTGACCATTCTCATTTGATATTTAAATAACGCATAAATCAGGCACCATCTGTTGCCAAGGTGAAAGACATGATATGCATTTCCTTGACACTTGTGTGCGGACACAACTGCACTCAGACAACCGAGTGTCTTGGGAGAGTACAGAGGAGGAATCAAGCTCGAGTTCGGACTCTAATTCAAAGCTCACAACATTCACATCACAACAGCCGTCTAGCATGGCAATATCGAAAATAAAATAAAATACACCCAAAGCACATAGTTAACATAGCTGGATGAGAAGCTGAGAAACACACCCTGTCCAGACGTGACTCGTCCATGCTCTTGGAATACTCCTTTAGCTTGAACTCTTCTCTGTCGATGCGGGAACTCTCTATGTCAGCAGAAAGATGGGGCATGTTGGACACCCAGGCGACGGTTCGCTCAGAGGCGGGGGACGTGGGGTTGAGAGTGGATGGAGATTGGGAAGAGCCCTGAGAAATAGACAAAGACATCCTGTAAGGAAGGAAACTTACACAGTTTGGGGTCAGTAAGATTTTGAATGTTGTTGTCTCTTATGCTCACCAAGGGTGCATTCATTTGATCAAAATTCAAAACAGTAATGCTATAAAATGTTATAATTTATTCCTGTGATGTTATAGTTGAATTTTCAGCATCATTACTCCAGTCTTCAGTGTCACATGATCATTCAGAAATCATTCTTATATGCGGATTTGCTGCTCAAGAAACATTTATTATAATTACAAATTGTTGTGCTGCTTAACATTTATGTGAAAACCGTGATTTTTTTAAAGCAAACTTGATGTATAGAAGGTTTAAAAAACCCAGCTATAAATTTTTTGTAACATTATAAAAGCATTTCCTCCCAATTTTGATCAATTTAATGCGTCCTTGCTAAAGAAAAGTATTAATTTATTTGAACAAAAATGTAATTATTAAGTATGCTGACTAATTCTATTATGCTATCTACAAACAATGAAAGCGTAATTCTTCCAGTTCTGTTGAACACATTTTAGCACGTTTAAATCCATTTCACAGAATTCTGCAGATTTTTCTTTAAAATCTACACAAATATGTGACATTTTTTAATATGTGATAAATATTCCTTAATATTGCTGAATTTTTTTTAATAATTTAAAAATTATTAAAGTTAAAAGTTATTAATTATTATTAAATATTATTAATATCTCCAAAAATGCCCAAAAAATATATTATATTTAAATTATCTTATAAAGATATTATATAATATAAAGATATTAAAATATCTTATAGATATTTTATATCTTATAGATATTTTATATCTTATCTTATTTTATAAATATCTTATATCTTATAGAGTGGTATTTTATATATTTTTTTATATAGTGAAATAAATATTTATTTGAAATAACCACATTTATAACTATGTTTTCCATTCATATGGATAAATTGTGGTGTGATAAATATTGCGGATTACTAAAAAAATATGTTAAAATTACAATTAAAATATTGCCAATCTGGTGGCATAAATGACTGGAATTGATTTCTAAAAATAATTGTATCTAGATCCCACACAAAAATAAATATCTAGTTGAAGAAATACTAGACATGGATAACAGGTAGAGTAGGAATGTTTTCTGATCCGAACACCTGTTTGCTCATGGTAGGCTTGAGCAGATGCTGTTGCTGGACCTGCTGGCGTTCCTGATGTGATTTCGATTGCTGCGTGGACTGTGGCGTTCCTCCCTGAGAGCCCTGGGATCCCTGGCTCTCCCTGGTGGAGCTCTGCTGATGGGGCAGGCCCGGGGGGGTGCTGTCTTTGACGGACAGCTGCTGCCGGGGCCCCTGTTGCCGGCTCCCGAAGCCAGACTCCGGGGACTGGAGCAGGTTCCCGCTCTGTGGCCTGGTCTTTGCTGCAGGGGTGGCGGCAGCGGCAGAACTCACGGAAAGTTGATGTGAGGGTTGCGATTTCATGCGCTGTGTGGGAGGAGCCATGGAGCTTTGACGGACTGGCTGAACGGTGGAAGGAGGCGTGGCTAGTGATGAATGAGATGTGCCGGTCTGCGATGCCATGCCTGCCAACTGCTGCTGCTCCTGGTCATGAGACACATGCTTAAATAAACAACCTCCATTTCTGCCACTCATTTCTAAATCAATTTACTCAGAAATTTTGATGGTAAGCAATGGATAATATAACAATATTTTACAGATTTTAGGGACAAAAGATGCTAATGGATGTTTTTCAATGGGCATTTGTTTTTAACGGGCGGATTGGATCCACCTCACAATGAAAGTATGAAGTCTTGCTTTGATTCCCATAGACAAAAGAAGCACAATTTGTCAACATTCGTGGACAGTTGTCTATAGTGAATGTAAACCATAGACTGTAAAAAAAGATGGACGCCCCTTCGCTCTCTTCCATTGGTCAGAAGTTAAGCCGCCTGTATATCCCGAAATGGCGCTGACATCTTGGAATTGAGTCTGCGCAAAAGCGATTTCGGGACAGGTGAACAGGAAGTAAAGCTGCGAAATCAAGGCCCCGCCCTCACTCTCGAAGAATCAATCGCAAGAACACGCTCCTGCATTTTTAAAAAAATGAATTATAGAAATTTAGATAAAAGTCCAATCTCCTCAGTCCTCCGAAGATCCAGAAAAAAGTCGTTCAGAGAAAAGTTCGCTCACACCAAATGACGTCACACCACCGCATCAAATAACAAACTAAAAGTAAACTTATTTTAAAAACAAACACTTGAAATTATATCAGCGTGATAAAAACTACAGTAAATGACAGAAACCATATTTGGAAAAACGATATTTGAAGTGTAATTTAATGGTTTAGTTGGTCTCACGTGCTGTCGAATAACATATGGAGGCGGGGTTTGCGACCTATACTAGGACCGGTGTTCTGTCGATTTTTGCTGCCTTGTCGAAAAATGCTACCGTTGCGCGAATTGATCACAGAATGCCGATTAAAGTCGTATGAAATACAATTCTAATACAATTCTAAGTTATGAGTAGCTACTGTATACTGTAGACTACTGTTTTTATTTTTATTTTATTTAAAACGGTGTGAAAAGTAAAAATTATCATAAAATATTCATCTTTGACTTGTCAAAGTACACCTTTTCTTATAGTAACTGAAACTTTCAGTTATTCCTTTTCAGCTGGCTGACCGTACAAATATTCATATGGTAGTAAGCATTTTTTAAAGGGAAATTATACATTATAAAAGGAAAATGTACCTTTTGTAAAAAAAAAAAAAAAAAAAAAAAAAAAAAAAACTGTGAGTCTGCACATGCGCATAACCAGTAAGTAGGAAATCTTGATGGGTAGCATGAATTGTCAGAACACCGGCCACCGGGGGGCGATCGAGATTGTTTTGGCTTCACTTTTCAGGGCTTGTGCGGCATGCTTGATGTAAACAAAGGTAATCAATGTGCCTTGAAGTATTTTCTTCTAAGAACGAATACGTAACAATATTCCTTGTTTAAATGATTCCTGCCAAAGGCATAGGCAAAAAAAGAGGATGAGGCATGGTCAGGTTAGTTAGTAGTGTGTTCTATGTTGAAACCATAGACTGTAAAAAATATGGACAAAGCGTCTGTGACATCACCCATAGACTCTCTGAAGAGCGGGTTTGAGGCTGTTTATGGGGGGTATGGGCGGCGCCATACTGGAAAATCTTGGGAAATACAAAATACATAAGTTTCAGAAAGGATACAAAGGTGGTATGATGTGTTGTGTCAGATCATGGCCGAGACGTCAAATTCACTCGGCGCAACCCGTTATCAGCTGTCAATCAAAGTTAACCGCCCTTATTCGTCATACGTTTTATATCTAATATGATCTAAACTAACGAGTTAAAAAAAAAATTCACCCCCCTCACAGTTGTCAGGCACGCGGAACATATTGAAGATCACAATAAAAGTCCATGGGACCAAACTGTAAACATATGAATTTATGCTGTGAAAACGGATATTTTAACATGACGTCTATGGATATTTGGGACCGCCCTCTAGCGGATTTGAGATGTATTGTAGTTTATCGCACTTCCGGGTAGGCTTCATCTTTCAGATTAGAATGTTGCCGCTTGGTTGAAACTCGCGGTTATGGTAAGGGACGAGGCATTTCCCAAACATGCTCAAAGTAGTTGACCAATCACAACACAGTAGCCTAGCTGACCAATCAGAGCATACTGCAGCACTTTTCAGAAGGAGGGGCTTCATAGAGACAGGAACTAACAGAACGTTACTGACAGACTTAGAATAGAGGAGCTGCAACAATGTCAAATATGTGAAAAATAATGTGTTTTTAGAACATTCAAGCATTAAAACCTATTCTAATAAACCCAAAAAACTAAAGGTCCCATTTTATATTAAGTGGCTTTAAGTAATATGTACTTACATTGAACAATAAGTACAATGTATTATTGTGTTCCTGTTGTATTGTAAAACACTTTTGCTGCTATTGAGGTGTGATACGGGTAAGGTTAGGGACAGGTGTGGTGGTATGGGTCAGTTTAAGGGTAGGTTAAGGTGTGAGGGGATGGTCAACTGTGTAATTACAAATGTAATTACATAAATTAATTATAGCTGTAATTACATGCTTGGAATTTTAAAAAATAAGTACAATGTAAAAACATGTATGTACACAATACGTCCATTGTATCAAATTATTAATTTCAATGTAAGTACATTAATATAAAGTGGGACCAAACTAAATAAAGGCATAATAGGTCCTTTTTAAGATTAAACTGATGGTCAAGAAAATACCTGCATGTGCATCGAGAGCTGGCGTCCCCTGAAGTCACTCTGGTTATGGCGGGTGTAGTCGTCGCTGTAGCTGTGGGAGTGAATGATGCTCGGCTGACCCAGGTGAGGGCCGGGTCTGAGGGTGGACAGGTCTTCGCTTCGGGAGAAACCACCATGGGCGAACTGGGGGATGTACGCTGGGTGAGAGGCGTCCGGCTCAGGGGCCAGCAGGAGAGGAGGAGGAGGTTGGGCTCGACTGTGCTGGTGGTGAATCTGAGGCCCGTCAGCAGCGAGGTGGAACAGAGGGTTCTGGAAGGAGAGGGGGTAGCGGAGGGCGGCGGCTTGCTGCTGTTGCTGCTGGGACAGCGAGTCGGTGGTGGCTCCCATCTGGCTCAGCTGGCTCAACCTCAGACCCCCGGACATGCTGGAACCGCCGGACCCGGCCGACAAACGCCCTCCGGCGCGCAGCTGACCTCCGAGGCCTCCTCCCAAGGCCGCGAGCCCACCGTAGCTGCCGAGGCCGGCAATCGAGGCCTGGGAAGAGTTGAGCATGTCCCCCATAGACTGCAGGTTAGAGACGCTGTTCATTCTTGAGTCCTGGAGGTCCATCATAGAAATGTTTTCATTAACACCTAGAACCTACGGGCGAGAGCGCTGCAGATGCCTGCCGGGCGCAGCAGTTGTGGGCGGTTTATGCATGTGGCTTGACTGTGTGTGTGAGTGATGGGTGTATTAACTTGAGGGTTAAAAGGAATAATTCACCCAAAAATGACATTTCTGTCATATGCTGTTATTTATTCAGTGGAATGTTAAAACATAATTTGTATGCAGCTCTTTTTCATACAGTTTGTCACATAAAATAAAAATAACATTAAAAAACTAAATCGAAGTAGTCCTGGCACTAATGTCAAGAAAAACTGAATTGTTTAAATAATATATATTATATTTAAATAATAGTAATAAATAAGCAACATTTGATTTTACAGGATAATAATTCATGTAACTGAATTCAAAATGGACAATAAAAGCACCATTCATTTCAATGTTTCGTTGTTACATTAATGATTTTCTGAGAGATGGGATGATGTCAAGGAAAATTATATTTAATATTAAAATATAATATTCTATACAATATAATATTTAAATAAAATTGGTACATCATATAATATCCTATACTACTACTACTACTAATAATAATAATATATAATTAATACATTTATTTAATATAATAAATAAACAATAAATAATTACAGTCTGCTTTTATAGACAAAATTTCTATTTATTTTTATATTTATTTATTGGGAGAATGACACATGCTATATTCTGAGACTATTTTGAAGCCAAAGTACAGATGAAATGTAAAGTGAGCTAAAAATGGTTTTGTGTGTAAGTCTAAGGGAAAACCTGACATGACAGGTGCCATTTGTGTCATATTTAATTTTTAAATCAATAATAAAAAAAATCTATGTGTTCATAAGACCTGAAATATACTTCACAAACAATACGATTTAAAATGATTTTATAAAATATATTTATTTTCCATTCTGAAAACTTTGCACATGAAAAAAGTGCATGATAAAATAATCACAAAACTATTCATTTTTGGGTGAAATATACATTTCTGCACTGTATGTCAGGACCCTGAATCCTAAATGGTGATGGAAGATTAACGTAAAGAATCTCTTTATGTATTGACGGCACCCACATCATCTTGAAGCCCTCTTTTCCATGCTTGGGTGGTATTTGACCATGCAGTAAGCAGGTCAGTGGCGCTTCCTTCTCCGACAGGAACAAAGCGAACCCTCAGAAAAGCTGGTGAAACGTGTGCTAGGGAGTGAGCTGTTATTCAAATGAGAATTTGGACCAGACAGCACTGACCATTGTCATGAAAGAATTCTAAATGAAAGGGGATATTATTTAATCAGAACCCCCCACCCAATCAGAAACCACTGTCCTTTGGGACTTACCTTTGGGTCTGGATCAGTGATATCAGAACTGCTAGTACAGTACGCTGGACTAGAGCGGGCCAACGGGGGACGGGCAACATAGAAAACTTCTTTAGATGAGGCTCGGTGAGGATGATCGCGATCCACAAAACCCCCCATTCCAGCTCGGGACGGGGGGGCTCCGCCACTGGACATGGCAGAGGTTGGAGAGGGCAGGCGAGTGATGTCGATTGAACTGTATGACATATGAGAAAGTTGACAAGAAAAAGAGTTCCCATGCTTTCGATGGTCAACATTAGACATCCTACAAGTCAACTACATGTCAAATAACTCTCATTAGAGTATATGCAGACTGTTACGTCCGGGTTAGTAGAATAAGTTTACATGTAGTTGAAAAGTTTGTCATAGTCAGTATAATGTCTGGTTGGGGAGCATCACAATAAAGTGTTACCAAGCTCAGCTCCAAAACCTAGCAAGCCATATGATGTGGTATTTAATTGTAGTTCAATCAACTTTGATACTGTATTACATTTTGAACATTGATATATTATTATAGTGTTTGTTAGTATTTTGAAGTAGATTTATTTTCTTTTTTCTGTTTTCACTTAAATTTTAATTGAAGCTTTGGCAATTTTGTCATTTTATTAGTTTGTCTGTATCATTTGTATTCCTTTTTATACATTTGTTTTAGTTGTTTTAGTACTTCAAGTTAAAGTAAATAAAAATGAGAAATGTTGGAAACTAGCTGAAATAAAATATTTGTAAGTCTTTATATTTTATTTTATTTCAATTAACATTTAATTTCTTTAAATAAATAAAATGTTTGTTTTTTAAAATTAAAGTTAGCATTAATAACCCTGCTCTGACAGAAGCAGAAGTATGAATATATATATATATATATATATATATATATATATATATATATATATAAAGAAAATCCAAATGCAAAAATAGGGGAAATGAAAACTAAAAAAAAAAAAATCTATAATAAAATACAATACATAAATAAATATTTATTTAATACTTGTAGGTGGCTTTGCATACCTGCAAATATGGTGATTCTCTTTTGAGGGACTCCTTTTTTTAAATATTTTATATTAATTTTTAATATTTAATATTGTCAATACATTTTATTTAAAATGTTTTTTTGTACTTTTTTATGATTTTTTTTATGATTTTATGTGCAGCGCTTTGAGAAGTTGCTTTTAAAGGCGCTAAATAAAATAAAGTTTATTATTATTATTATTACTGTTTGAAAAATATAGTATATAAAATACAATACAAGTGTTGTTTCCCTAAATTAAACCTTTGTCTTTTTTATACAGTTATTGTACTAAAACAAAAAACTATTAAAAAGTAGTAGTAATGTAAAATTGAATAAAAAAGAAAGCAGAAAGACAATTAAATCCTGTAAATGTTTTTTTAAGCACTCATTTGCATCTCCTCTCCGGTTTGTAAACCCCTGGCATAGAAGCCTAAAAATATTAGGCAGACTAACTAGGTTTTGGAAAATCCTCTCTTCTCCAAGGTGTTGCGATGTGACACAAATATGGGTCATGGGTGCATATAAAGACCCCAGACGCACCTGTTGAGGTCTCTCATCATGAGGTTCTGGAACTCGGATGAGATGGCCCTGTTGAAGCTGGGCCGGGAGAGCAGCCTATCTGTCTGTCTCTCTGGAGGCTGTCTGTCTGTCTGGTGACTGGGCTGTCTCTGGAGGTGCGGGTTACGGAGGGCCATGCTGATGTCATTAAGAAGGCGGGGCAATGGTCCGAGTTTGATGATGGCATCCTTTGGCACAATATAAACAGACAGAAAACAGGAGACCAACCTAATGACCGATCACAAACGCAAGTAGACAATCACGGTTATCTCCATCCAGATTATCAAACAGCATCTACCTTGCTTAGTTGTGCCATGACTTCCCACAGAAGACTGTGCAGGATCGAAAGCTCCCTTCCCAAGTCGATGTAGCCCTCAAAAGCAACGGCGTTGCTCACGGTATCGAGATTGGAGATCTCGTAGAGGAATTGCTGCATGGAGCCCCACTCCATCTCTAAAAACTCATTCATATAGCACATGTACTCCTCCTTACTGCCAAACCTGTAATACAGTGAGGAACTGGTAAGGATGCGGGCTGATATGGTTTGTAGGAACATAAAATGTTGCGCAATGATAAAGATGTTAATGCTCATCATCATCATTAGCTTAATGGCCAATGATCTTGGCTGACAGCCCTAACGTCAAAATGTAACCCATAATACTGGAGCACTAAAGAGATTCCCATTACTATTGTGTCCTAAACCCAAAGTCAAGAAGACTGTCCCGGATCAATTATATTAAATGCTGAAAAGGTCATTTTAAGCATCATAACATTATAAAGCACAGTGTGAAAAATGGACGTTAATTCTGAATATTTGCTAAATATTAGATTTTACAGTGTTATTAAAGAATTTGTGATATTAAAGATTAATTTCAAGTGAGCTTTAGACGGCACAAAGATAATCTAAATTTAAAAATTGGGAAAATGAGAATGCACAGCTAAATATCAAATATGGAAAAAAAATTAATAAAATAAAATTACAATAAAAAATTATGATAACCAATATTGTCCCAATATATTAAGCATCAGAATAGATAAAATGAGAATGCACAACTACAGTAAATATCAAATATATAAAAAATAAAATAAAATAAAATAATAATAAAAAAATGATTAGAATAGATAAAATGAGAATGTACAAATATCCAGTGTGGATAAAATAACAAAATAAAATAATGCCAGTTGATAACTAATATGGTCCCATTATATCATGTATCCCATAGCAGAATGATGAAAATGAAAATGCACAATTAAATATCCTATGTGACAAATTAAATTAAATATCGCTTGATAACCAAAATGGTCCCAATTCATCATCCATCTCCAATCAGAATGGTTTCCTTTCTTTACAGAACTCAGAGCACCCCGCAAAAATGGTGACATGGTAATAAAGTTAAAGACCTTAAAGAAGTGTGTACTGACTTTGAGAAGTTTGCAAGGTTCTGCACAACTTTGGCTATGAGGGTGAGTGTGCGTGAGGTCTGTTCATCGGGGTATTCCTGTGTGAGATTGAATAAGGATGGCGACATGACGGCTGGACACAGGAAGCGCAGGAAGAGGGAACCACTGATCAGTCGATCTGCAATGTCCTCTCTTCCTCTCTCAGCGCATCGCACGCGCCAGGACGCAAAGACTTCCTTCAGTTCCCTTGGAAACGCACTGGGAAAAACAAACAATATATTTCCAGTATGATTAAAGCAGTTGGTTTGCTATCATCTTTTCACTGTCGACTCTTTTAAAATACATTAAAATATATAAGCCTGGAAATTCATTTGCATCATCATACAATTTTAACCATGCAATCTTTTTATGAAGATCTACTATCATAACTATTATTAAAAAGTTGTTTTGCCACTTAAACTGTTTTAAAGAGTCACAGCAGTAAAAAATAACATTTTTACTGTCTTGTGGTGTGGTGCACATTATTAAATATAATACATTTTAACCAAAACTCTACCCATTAAAAAAAATAAGAATAATTTCACTTTCCATAGAAAAAAGCAGTAAGGGGCCGTTCAGACTGCATCTGTCCCAGCTGTTTTTTTTTTTATTAGTAGTATTTTCTTCCTCTCTGTAATCGTGCTATAGCTAGTGATGTATTTGATTGCTGCAGTGCATATTGCTGTTTTTTTTAAGGGATAGTTCACCCAAAAAGAAAATCAAGTCATAATTTACTCACCCTGGTGTTGTTCTAATAACAAATGCCTTTGTTTCTTTTTTGGACCACAAAAGGAGTAATTAAAAAAAAAAAAAAAATTCCCGCTCGTCCATATACTGTTATATGTCCATATAATAATTCTTAACTCTTTCCCCGCCAGCGTTTTAAAAAAAAGTTGCCAGCCACCGCCAGGGTTTTTGACGATTTTCGCTAAATTTTAATGCCCCGCTGAATATTTTCTTCCATAAATATATGAAGATGATATATATAAAAATAAAGATCTGAGCCTCTGCTTTTAGCCAAAAAAAAAAACGTTTTTATTTTATCTTCATTTGTTCTTTTTTTATTGCCTCTTGAACAGAGGTAGGTTTTGTCAAAAACACAACATTTTGGACAAAAAACTGAGAAAAAGGTATTTTTATCAAACAAGTGCATTTAAAAGCAGAATACATTCAGATGTTGTTTCCTTCATATATAAAACTTTCCAAAATAAATTTAAAACATAAATAAATGTAAAACATATCAAATTTCCCAGGATGTAAGGGAAATGTAACTTTTGCAATAAAACTTCTGCCTCTGCCTCTCTGTGTTCTACCTGTGAATAATGAATAATTGGAATTACAATAAACAGGCCTACACACACACACACACACACACACACAAATACATATTACAATGTGGTAAATGTGCACAAAGAGAGAAATAATTTGACAACACCTTCATATTTAGACAGCCACACATAAATGCCTGCACACACACATAAATATTATAGTGTCATAATATTATACGATCTATCTGCGGCACGTCCATGGCTAGAACTTTCTGTGACAACATGTGCATCTCTCTCACTGACTACTTCGTCCCGATCAGATTCAGAATTATCAAATAAAGAGTGATCGGACTCCGAGTCCATTAACCTCCAGTACTTCAGCCATATACCTCTGCATTGTCTGTCTGATACATTCTCACTACTCCACTGTTTGAGACGATTGCAATCTGTTTCTCTGATCAAAGAGTTGCGCACTCATTCAGGACATGCGCGTGGGTCTTCCTTACCGTATACCACCTAAAACACGGATACCCGGAAAATTCCGTGTTTGGCGGGGATGCGTTTTTTCATTAAACACGGAAAATTCCGTGTTTGGCGGGGAAAGAGTTAAAGCTGGATGAAAGATCACACCTGTGTGCCAAAAATTTTGCCATCTGCCAATGTCTGTTTGCAGTGCTGTGTCAGAGGTATTAAATCGCTTGCAAGCAGCTAGGGTGATAGAACGCATCGATGCCTCTGCATGGGTGTCAGCAACTGTTGTTGGGCAGAATGAAGGCAGAAAAAGTCAGTTAAAATGGACCTCATGGAGCCAAATAAAGCAGTGATTGTGGACAATTGTCCATTCCCACACACCAATAGACTACTCTCTGCTCTAAAAGGTTCTACTGTTTTCACTACCGTCAACCTGACTAATGCTGACTACTAAGTGCTGCTGCATAAGGACAGCTGCGACCTCAATGCCTTTATTACACACGAGAGACTGTTCCATTTTTGCCTTGTTCCTTACGGATTGGCTTCTACCCCTGCGACATTACACAAGATGATGACTATCATCCTGAATGGCTGGTCAAGAATTGAAAATTACCTGGACCACATTATCATCCACAGACGTGACATGTCTATGCACGACGAAGTGCTTCAATCGATCTTGAAACACCATGAAGCTGCTGGCTTGCTGCTCAATAAAGACAAGTGTTTCTTCCGACAAACCAGCCTGCTGTTCTTTGGTCATATTGTTTCAGCAACAAGTCTTTTTTTTTCTTGATGGGTCCGGATCAGATGGAGGACCTGTGCCTAGACACGACCACAACACATCCCTGAATTGTCAGCAGAGATTGACTCTCCTAGACTAGACTCTCCACTGTGAAGGTCACATCGACATGACAGCCAAGAGCACTGATCCTCAACAAACGGATCTCCATGATGACTCCAATCTTCAACCAGATGGAACTGGATTAATATTCTGATCTAATCTGAATTCTGACCTATAATGCTGCCTGAATCATGCTCATACACTCTTTGTTCGTTGGCCAGAAGAGAACTTTACATTAAAAGTGTCATAATTTACAGAATGACACTTAATGACAACTGTCATAAACATTCATATAGACTACTTCATGTTCATGACAGGTGTTATGTCATGTTTATGACAGTGTCATGCCAGTCTTATGCACACCCCTTCAAATAAAGTGTTACTGTTTTTTTTTTTTGTTTTTTTTTCCCCCTCTATTCTGTCACCTGATAGAGTTTTGGTTCCTTGCTACTGTCGCCTTTTGCCTTTGGCTTTTGGCTTGCTTAGTTGGGGACATCGTCTCGGTAGTCTCGGGTTCGATACCCCCGTGCGCAACCGGGTCCCATGACAGCGTTCACATTAGCGTTGTTTCATGCGAACCGTGCCTCGTTCTGAACTAAACTGCCAGTGTGAAAGCCCCCTAACATGACACCTTCATAATCATGACATATGTTATGAATATGAAGGAAGTTTTATGCATGTTTGTGACAACTGTCATTAAGTGTCATTCGCTCAGTTATGACATTTTTAATGCAAATGACATTGTTTGAGATGTCATTGTTATGACAGCTTGACATAAACCAGTACATCATAACCTGTAAAATTAATTATCAAACTTAAGAAACCACTTAGCTTTATTGTTTAACATTACATTAAACTGTCAGGTGGTTGGTTTTGACATTGGCTGTCATGAAGCCATTATAACCTTTCAATGACAAATTCAATTGTTGAGGTCACGAAAAATATTCATAAATAAGACATCTTAAACAATGTCATATTTGCATTCAAAATGTCATTATTGAGCAAAAGACACTAAATGACAGTTGGCATAAACCCTACTTCACATTCAAGACATATGTCATGTCATGGTTATGAAGGTGTCATGTCAGTCTTATGCACACCCCTTCAAGTAAAGTGTTATTAAATGAATTTCAAACTCTGGTGGCAGCTAATGTTAGCCTTTTAGACAAAAGAGTGATTTTTCTGGTGTTTTTGCTGTTCTGGATTAGTGGGTGTGGCTTGCGGAGCTTTGCAATGTGGTGCATTGTGGGAGTTGTTGTCTTACATACAAATGCGCCCTTCAGTTATTTTCTCGGTCAAGAGGGTGCCAAATTCAAAAATGATTTTACATTTCTACTACATATATGATCCACTTTCAATAAAGATTAATGTTGAAATTGGTGAAATGCTCCTTTAAATGAATTTATATATATATATATATATATATTGCAGTGTAGATAGACAGATGTGTGGTTTAAATAATAGCAGAGACACATTTTAATGTAATGTGTTCGTGCATAAAAGAAGAAGAAAACAATGGATGATGTTTAGTATGTGTGACAGGAAGATGGACAGAGTTGTTTGTGTGAATGAGGTTAAAAGTATGTGTGAGTCAGTATTCCTATCGGCACTGTGTCATCCTCTCCCAGACACTCCAGCAGACAGGCTTTATTAAAATATACCTTGCCCCTGCCAAGGTTATGCCAGTGATAATCTCTGCAAAACTTTCAAAACCACTATGCACAGCTGACTGAACTGCAATTTCAAAGATTACAGATCTTGTCATACAAAAAAAAAAAAGAGAAACCCACCAGTTTTGAGGGAGCAAACATCTAAATATTCCTGGAACACAGTGTTTCAGAAGAACACTTTAAATAACAGTCATTGCAGTCCAGACAAATCTGACAACCTGCCTTTTTTGGCTATTTTATTGATCACCGAGACCTCTAAACATTTAATTCTGCATGCAAATATGATTTTGTCATGGATTTTTCTTCTTTTACTGTGTGTGAAAAAGAGCCATAGTCCACATACACTGAATAATTGTCTTTTTGATTTTAATCACGTATTTATCACACATTCAGTTCCATGTAAAATTGTGGTTATATATACAGTATATATATATTCTGCATCTGGCATGCATGGCCTGTCTAATGCACTGCAACGTTCTATACTTAGAATAGAAGTAACAGTCTCTTTATTTGGCGTGAATCAGTGTGCCTAGTAACCCGGCACACTGAACTGTCTGTAAGGCATCCATCCGTGACATTTGTTTGATGATGTTCTCTCCTCTGTCAGAGTGTTTTATAATTATGGGTATTTTGCAAAGCCTGTTGGCTCAACAGAAACTCAGGTTAGCATCCTTAACATACTGAGACACATTCACAGTAATTATTACCACACAACCACGTTAATCAAGTATTTGTGCAAATAGCGTTATAGCTATTTAGCGAAACCGTGTGCTTTTTTAAAATCCTTTTCGTAGGCCTGCATGTGTGCAACATTTTATTGGACTATTTTTGTTTCTGTACCAGCTGTAAATAGCTGTACCCTTGAGGGTTGAGATGGGATGGGCTAGAGGGACTTCTTCCACATGAAATAATTACTATGGTTCAAAACGGTATGTGATTTGATTGCATGTTTAGTATGTTAGGCTATTC